TCCCTCTCTCTCCCCCTCCCCCTCCCCTTCTCCCCCCTCTCTGTGTATGTATGCTCATCCAGTTGGTACTCTTCTCTCTGTTGGTTTAGCAATCAATAAGTGAATATACAGAAACAACCTTCACACAGTGAATCCCAACAGATTTGAAAGAAAATGCCCCTGTAGGGATTAGTACTAATAGGAGGTGTGGCCTTGCTGGCATATGTATGCCTTTGTTGGAGGAAGTTCATCACTAAGGGGTGGGGTTTGAGATTTCAGGTGTTCAAACTAAGCCCATCGAGGCATTCATTTTCTGTTGCTTGAGGATGCAGATGTAGACCTCTCCCTGTACCATGTCTGTCTCCATGCTGCCATGGTTCATGCCATGATGATAATAAACTAAACCTCTGAACTGTAAGCCAGCCCCAATTAAATGTTTTCCTTTAGAAGAGTTGCTGTGGTCATGGTGTCTCTTCACAGCAGTAAAACCCTAAGACCTCCACTAAACAGTGCTGAACACAAATGTGGTCCAGAGGCTGAAGAGAGGAATCAATAGTTTCAGTGCTTGCTAATACAATCTTGAGCACTGGGGTTTGAATCCTCAGATCTCACATAAATGCCAAATGGGTGTGACAGCCTGCCCATAATTCCAGCCTTGAATGTAAGGACAGGGAATCCCCAGGGCAAGCTGGCCAGCTGGACTAGCCGTCGTGGGCAGCTCTGGGTTGACTGAGAGCCTTTGCCTCATTGAATAAGGTGGAAGAATGATCAAGAATATTCCTAACATCAACCTCAGGTCTTCATATGCATAGGCACACACATACACACTCACCCCCCACACACACACACGTGCCCAAATGAATGCAAACATATATACACAATACATAAGCAAGCACACATCAGATCACATATTAAAATGGAAAAAGAAAGGAAAAAACAAATATAGTCCAGTTCCTCAGCTCCCAGCATGGGGTGAGCACCCTGAGCCCTGCTCAGAGTTGATGGCAGCAGTGGAGGCAGGGGGAGGGGGAGCTCTGTGTTAGCAGAGCCTGGTTAGTAGACTAGCAACCTGGCCCTTCCCTCCAGAGAGGCTGACATTGTGCAAACCTGGAAGCCGCTTGGTTCTTGGCTCCAGAGCGGGTGTGACATCAATCTCTCAATCTCCAGGCCACTTTTAGATGCAAGGCTGCTGGCGTGGGGACTTTAGGAGAACAGGACTGCCTGGCTGTGAAGTCACTGGCATTTCATGGAGTGAGGGAAGATTTTACAAGCACTGTGCTGAGCTGGGCTCTGAACCCAGGCCAGGCAGTTATGTAACCAGCCTGGGAGGTATAGCACATGTGGGATGGGGAGACAGGTGGAAAGAAGGGGGAGCTCCTAGGTCACTGTGATCGTGGTGCTCTGGTCCCATTCAAACACCACAGGAGGTGGACCATTCCAGCACATACTCCATAGGTTTCCTGACGGTTGTTAATGACTTACCTCATTTTTCATGAGTGTGTGTGTCTGTATATGCACACATGTGTATATGTGTGTGTGCATGCCTGTGTGTGTGTGTTCATGTGTGTGGCATGTACATGTCTGTCTGTCTACCTGTCCCTTCCGTTCATCATCACCAGAATGCAAGCATCCTGGCAGTGGGAGCTGGACCTGCATGCTGTTTTTCATCCACATATATCAGAGAATGACCTTTAAGGAAATATCCATTCACTCAACAAATTTTGACAACTTGACCTCTGCACCTATTCCGGTCTCCTAAGTTCACTGGCAGCCTTGGTACCCAGATGGTCAACTTTATACATCGACTCAGTGAGTGAGCATGCTTGCACACATCTGGGATAAGGCAAAGAGCCATCTGGGCCAGCTCACACTAGATCCAGATGGCCTGGCTGTTGGCTCTGCTTTGAGGTCAGCTGCTATGACCTCCAGGTGGCCATCCTGTAGTGTCCCCACTGTGGGGCCTTTCTGTGTACAAGCCCATCCCTCCTGTCCTCAGAATCTCCCAAGGATCTGAAAGCAGTGCCACGTGCTGTTCAGGACAAGTGTCTCATGTCTTTGAGCTGTCTCTCGTGTGTCATCGCCATCCTAGTCACTGTCCTCAGAAGGGTGCTAATGAGTCACTGTCCCCTACGAAGTGACGTCTTAAGAGACCTCAGTGGGTCTTGGCAGTTTTTGACACATTGTAGCAAATATTTAGGTCACTTTTCCCATTTAGACTTTTTAGCTAGAAAAAGAGTCAGTTAATTAATGAAGGAGAAACACTCACATCCCATTTATCCATTTACTTTTGAGACAGGCTTTCCTTTTGCATATCAGTTTGACCTGGGACTTAATACCTCAGGTTGGCCTAAGACTTACCAATCCATCCTCTTAAAAGTAATCATGGCTTGATGGTGGAGAGCTGGGAGGCCAGAGGACTATTTGGGGCACTGATATATATATATATTTAATAATACTATCTATATTAATTACACACACATACACACACACATATACACAAACACACATCACAGCTATGTCTGGTGGCACAACATGCCTGTTGACCCAGCACATAGGAGGCAGAGAGGATCAGGAGTTTTAAGTCATGCTCTGCCATATACAAAGTTCAAGACTTGCATGAATTTCCTGAGACCCTGTCCTAAGGGTGAGAGAAGAGCACACTGTGGATGTGAAAAGCTGTTTCTTAGAGATCATTCTAGTACCTTCTATCACTGCCCACCAGCAGGATCCAGGACTCTGGCTATGGTCGTTGACTCTGCTCATGTGATCCTTACAGAGACAAAGACAAAGTTTTATTTGGAGGCATTTATTCCTACTGTAGAATGAGTTCCAGCTAAGCCTGGTTGTCACACATCTATAATTCGACTTCTTGGAGACTAAGGCAGGAGGGCCTCACATTCGAGG